ACACAAATATAAAAGTTCTAGAGTCAGATTAGAATGATTTTATGAAATAGCTCTCATAAGAAGGCAGGTTAAATTTATGAATTGTCAGAAAAAGTACATAAACACAAATTTGGGGTTAGTTCTGTGTGTTAGTTGTGATCATCATGAAAAACAGGGTGCTGAAATATTTTGCATGACAGAACTGAGTCTCCAGCTCATGATGATAAACCTAAGGTCATCAGTAACAAGACACGGGCTTTTATCCTCATAACTCTACCATGATGATGGAAAGTCTACTCTTATTAAGAGCCATAACATTTTCCCCGTTCCACAGAGGGGAAGAAGATGTATCAAAGTAGATGACCCAAATCAGGTGTAAATTTTCCTGTATTTGTTACAGATGAATAAACTAAGTTTCTGTATTCCCTTCGTGCCTAAATCCTCATGTGCAAGTTGCTGTTAAGGGATCAGCTGGGATAATTTGTCCACATATCAAATGCACTGCAAAGAAACTCTAGGAACCTACCAACTCTAGGAACCTACCTAGACTGAAGATTACAGTTCAGTGCTAGTGCCCATTCAGTCCCTGTTGTCCAACAATGCTGTAAGCTATTGACAGTATCAGCCGCGGTAGAGCTTTGGGTTGCCTGTCAGAACTGTCAAATCCATAAAACCCAGAGCATACTGGCCAGCCAGAGCTGCCTGAGGCAGATTCACATCTAAGCACTGAAGAGTCTGTATATATACATATATTTTCATGCTTCCTTCAACTCCTTGCATGGATGAAGTAAGTGTATTTGCCAAGCATCTAACATTTTACTCTAAGCCTAACAGTACATTTGGTATTTTCTCATAGTAAGCACATCTGTTCCAGAGAAAGATACTGCTATAAATTAGGTAAGAAAATAACAGGTTTAATTACATAATTACAAGCTTGCCTGAGCCTTGTAACAGCTAGAGAAATGGTGAAAAGAACTAATTAACGACAAGCCTAAGTCACAATAAGACCAAACCAAACCATTTTACTTGATTGTCTGTGGTAGCTAGAGCCAGATGACTTCAGTAAGCTGCTTAAGAATGCATATATCCAGGAGTTCATGACCTAAACTGATACATTTTTCTCTAGGGAATGGCCTTATTCTCAAAGTTTGGATCCAGACTTGAGTTCCTTCAAAGCTTTTATAGGGCTTCTTTTAAACACAAGAACTAGTACTGATTAATTTATCTTCCTTTTTTTTTTTTTTTATGAATTCATCAAGAGGATATTTTTTTCCATGAAAAATATCTTTGTAAAAATTCTTGGATATTGTAAAAGAAAATAACTCTCAAAAAAGAGAAAGATATCTTGCAGAAAACATCTGAACAACAAGCTAACTTCTTGCGGAATAAAAAAAATTCCAGACTACTTTCCATGGGCAGTAATCATTAAGATCCAGTTTTCAAAAGCCATACGAATCCCTCTGTATACGACGCAAATGGCAAAAATATTTTTAACATACAAAGATGTTCTTAGTGTACAAAGAATATACAGGGTCAGCTAGCTTCTGTAGGCCAATAAGCAAGAAATAAAAGTTCTGCAGCTCATCTGTAAAGGAAGCATATGCCCATAAAAAGAATTAAGCACCTTTTTTTAAATGTAGCCAAAATTCTGCAGAGACACCTGTTTTAGAGAAAGCAACCATTCTGTATGGGCTTAATAACAGACAGAGATACATAATTTTCTACTATAAATATGTTAAATGCAGTTGATAACAGTGGAACTGTATTGATGCTCGTCCTTTCCTCGCCTTTATTTTGGAAGAACTGCATAGTATTCCATGCTGTTTGGTATTTATCTAAACAGCTTTTTAAAAAGCTGAGAAATATGAAAAAAAATGAAGTTTAAAATGGGAAAAAGCTGACATTTTATTATTTTATTATATAGTTCTTTTTTGATATGAAATCTGTGACATTATTTTAGGAAATAACATTCTAAATGATACAAACATTTTACAATCGCAACTTACCATCTGTATTTAAAGAAAACAGCAGCATAAGCCCATCAGAAGGCTAATGTAATTTTCATGTACCTCTGCATATATTCTGTTATTCTGGTTTACAAAATCATATTAAGTGCAGAAAAAAGAAGGGCTTTTTTTTAGGAGTTAGGCTTTGAAGAAGTAAATAAGCAACATGGAAAGTCAAGTCAATAGGTGAGGAGAATTAGACAAGGATATCAATTACACTCACTTGCCTTCTGTAAGAGCTTGCTACTTAGTTAAAGTGCCAGCACAGTGTCTTTAATTTTAAATATCACAATTTTCACACAGATAATACAAAGAAATAGGCAGGGTTGCATTTACTACACCCCGTTTTTAATAAAAAAACATTTCTCATAAACAGATATTTCCAACTCTTTTGCAAGGTCTTGTGTGAAAACACTTACAATCTTTGCTTTTACACATGATCATATATAATGATTATACCAGAATTTCATGGCAGCACTTAAAAATCTACATAATTTAGAAACATAAATTTTAGTTACCTAAAATAATTTTTTGCAGTGTCTCACTCTTGCTTTCTAATAAGTTGGTTAGAATTAAACTAGTATAGAAATAATGCTTCGAAGAAAACTATCAAGTGCCATTTACAAAGGTACAAAATATACAGCAAAGTTAACCTCTCATTAAATAAAATATACAGATTAGCTGAAGTTCCAAATCATTAGCTAACACCTTATTTTAAGGGATAAACTTTTAGGGAGATTTTCCCTCTGATATGGGAGAATTACACAACAGTTCCTTTTCCTGTATGTTTATGCAATGAGTCATGTTCATTTTAACTGCTGACAGTAAGGGACTGGGTTTATCATTCTGCATAGGAACTGCAGTACAGTCAGTGTGAACCCCTAGAGATCACTTTCAGCTAAGGTACCACAGCCTACTTATTGAAATTTTTATAGTAATAATGGAAATCATTGTCACTGTGGTGTCTGTTAAACCTCCATGAGAATTCTCCTGCCATCTAGCAACCAACGTACCATCAAAATAAAGTGTTGCCAACACACTCCACGACTGCTCTATTGTTAAAATAGTGAGTTATGAAAACTGCCTACTTACTCTTAAACTTATCTCCCTGATAATAAATGAGTTTTAGGAAAAATAGCATGTTCCCACTTAAACCAGCCACTGTAATGTATCAGTTTGGAATGAATAGTAAGTGCTTGTATGTTAGGTTAGCAAAGAGGTATAAAACCAGCTATAATTACAGCAGTGTTGCACCCCTGATATTTACTCTTGGTCCAGGCGTATATTAACCATGGCAAAGCATCGGCCTATGCTCTGAAAGAATGGTACAACAAAAACATCTGTCAGGCTCTTCCATATAGTTTGCATTGAAGGCAAGACCATGAGACAGGTTTTCACAAAAGGCACCACAATCCTGTAAAAGAGAAAATGGTAGATTTAATGATTGTTTCTGTTACAGCATGGAGAAATCAGGATAACCAACACAAGTATGAGATCTTATGGAAAAGGAAGTGATTTTCTAACTCTAAATCTCTAAACAAGTTAGTTTCACACTCTTGTACTCATTCTCCCTCAATTTTGTTCACTCACAGCCTCACACCTGCACAGGTAGAAGCATTGTGATGCATGTGGTCCTCTGGTCAGGATCACCCATGCGCAAGGGACCCAAGGGACAGGAGACGCCAGGTTTCTTTTCATCATGTCTCTGCTTCCTAACTGTCAATGCTGAGCTAATTTTTGGACATGCCTGTTACAGAAGTGAACTTTTGCTGTCCTCTCCCTGATGCTGGAAGGACTGGTGTATGTGATATATGGCAACCCTGCTGCCACCTCGCTTTGGCTGAAGAGCAGTGTCATACCCTAAGGACTCATTTGCACTGTGGTTGTATCTATGTTTGGGGTTGACAGAACCACCACGTTCCCCAGTTTGATTGACTGGGAACAGCGCTGTTTACAATCTGTTCTTGCTCTGCTGTATCATCTGGTGTTTCTCGTATCCGTCTCTCTCACCCACCCAAACGCACAGGCACATCACCATTTCTGTCTTATTCCTACAACCTAACTTGGCTGTTACAACTTGATACAATAAAACAGAAACAGTAAAGCAATATCTGGTTACATTGGATTGCTGTAGTACAGAAATATGCCAAACCTCAGAAAAATGGGATATTGAGGATCCTGTAAAGATTTCATTTGTGGGTGAGAAACTAACCTAGAATGAGGTCAAAACTCACAGTCAGGGGAAAGATCTTTTTATTTGCTCAGGGTGCATACTTGAAAGTATTGTGCTTTCATCTCATGAGCAATGGTAAGCATCTGGGGATGCTCTCTGTATGTCCCAATTCCAAAGCAAAGTCATTAGTGGTAGCTTAAGCCAGGCATACAAACAACAGAGGACACCTAGAAGTGCAGGTCTCAAGGGTCAGTGGATACATGGTAACTTACGGATACATGAAAATTGAGGACACTATTTTAAGTTACTCTCTTTGCTTAATCATTTACTGGCCAAAATCCCATGTCATTTCACTAAGCTGGATGCAGACAAATTAAATGCATAAATAACTTATGTAATACTGAAGGTTTAAAAAAATCTGTGCCATATATAACACTTTTATTTCCTAAATTAGGTAGAAGAACCTATAGATTTTCTTGATAAAGATAATAAACTTTGTTATAGTTTGCTGTTGCATTCAAAATTTAAGATCCCAGTGTTGCATCCACATAAGCCCATTGCAGAATTCTCGTCGACTTCGGTTGTATGACAGGAAGTATTTAATTTACTATTTCATCATAGGTCTGGAAAAAAAATACAGGTATTGTGTATTTCCAATGAGTACTGCTCAAAATAACAAAGTAAAAACCAAACAAACAGTAAAACCAAAAGCAAACTGACACATTTTAAAAAAGTTGGAGCTTAGAAATGTAAAGAGTCAAAATAAACTACTTTCAGTGTTTATGTAACCAGATTCTCAGCTTTCATCATACAATGCAAGCCATATACTAGTATGTCTATGCTGCACTCTAAACTAACACAGATGGATTTAAACAAGAATAGTTTTTCTAAAACCTTCTGTTCTTTTGTCTCTGCTGAAACAGCTAGTAAAAGACATACTATATAGAACTGTGACTGTTGCTGCAATAATGTGTCTCTAGTTTTAAACTGACCCCTGTAAATTATGTGTTTTACAACCTACCTATAGTATCACTGCATATTGAATAGATAATTTCTGGAGAACAAAATTAGGGCTTCATCTATTAGAATACAGCTGATAAACATCAGTAATGCAAAGGAAAAAATAAAAAATAAAAAAAGATATTTCTCCAAGCAATACAGGGAAAACACCAGAAATGACTACTCAGCTTGTGTTGACTTCACCTCTTTTCCATTTTGGTTAGCTTATAAGGGCTATGTCACCATTCCTTTCCTGCCATCTAAAACAAATTTGGCCTTCATTTTTTTTTTAAAATCCAACTGAACTGGAGAGAAGCAGAAAAGTTGACATTTCTCGTGGACCTCGTGTCGACAGGATCACATAAATACCACACTATGCAGAAGTTTCACAGAAAGATGTAGCAAATCACCAGGATGTCATTAGGAAGGGCTGGAAAAGCAGTGCTCATACCACCTGCAACTGCTGTAGAGATCATTCATACAGTACCAGAACTCAACCTCTTTTGATAGTGCTAAATACAATAAATACAAAATGTTTTGGTAATGTTTTATAAACTTTGCCAATTTTATGGTAAATGCATGTGAAAAACAATGCAGGCTAGCCCTGCAGGAGGATATGTAACACATCCTAGCAAACAAAGCTAATTAATGGAAACAACTTACAATAAAAGTCAATCTACTTAGATAACAATTACTCAAACACCTTTCCTCAGAGAAGAAAACCCTTACACATAGAGACCAGTAAAAGGTATTTCCTAACTTTTAAAACATGTGAGTGTGTCTATATAGGTATCTATATGTGTTTAAGTACACATCCTGTTCTGCATTTCCACATCATCAGAGGGTGAGATGTGCCTTCTGTGAAGTGACCAGGTACACTTAAACACATAAATAACCAAGGGCCACCAGAAGCTATGTATTTGTTTTTGTGACCTGTCAAATAAACGTTAACATATAAATCCTTTATTCACAATGCTGTGGGTTTACCCCAGTCTGCACTTGAATTCACCGAGATGGTAACTGCTTGCTTAAGCGATTTCTAACAGTGGAAGTGGGCATATCCCAAGGATATCAACACTGACTGCAATATTGCCACTAGTAGTGTCACCACATAATACAGCATTGGGAAGAAAATCAAAGCTCTGTTGAATTTGGCATCTAAGCTGAAGCACAGACAAGCTATTCCAACTACCTACATGACCTCTTACTGAATCTTGCTATGTGTAAGTATCACAAAATACTCATCCTTTCACTGAATAGAAGGAATCCCCTCTTTTGGGAACTGTTGAACTGAAAAGTGCAAATTACCCCAGTTTTTCCACCCTATCCTATTTTCTCTTTCTGATCATGGCATGACATCTACAAAATTACACCCATGAACCTTTTTCACTTTTGCTCACATTACTTCTTTTCTGCTAATCTCCAAGGGATATATACTGGACATGAAAGAAGAGGCTTCAAGGAAACACCAGATCATAGCGTGGGTCTTCATGGTATAGCTGTACTATAATTTCTTTTGATTCAGACAGCCATTAGGGAGATGGTTTTGGGGTCGAGTATGATAACAGTAAGTTATATAAACGGAGTTGTGCAGGAAGAAGTGAGGGATGATACAAGTCAATACTTACTTTGCATATAAGTCCCTGGCTGCATCTGAGCACTGTGAATGGAAGCTCAAGCAGACAGGAGCTCCGAGTACCTGCTGCTCCAGCTGATGACAAGAGCATAAAGCTGCCTGAGTACTTGTGCTTTAGAGCCCATCTCAGATCCAAGACTTGTTATGGATCCACAAATGAACTAGTGATTCTTAGCACACATATGCAACATATCAGAAGACTATTCAGACAGGACTACAAAAAAGCATATATGATGCTCAAATGTTCATTTCCAAGAGGTGGCAAACATGTGGCTTGAACACCAAGGATTAGTCTCTGATCTATAATAAGTATAACGATTTTGCAAGTGCTGCCTGGAAAACCAGTAGTGTTCTGCTCATAATCAAAAATCAGTAACAATCTCATTCTAATGAAATCTTTAAAAGCTTGCTAATATTCACAGAAAGATGTTAAAACTATCTGTCAAATTCTGCCATTTATAGTCTGTGGTGAGAATTACAGTCATCAGTAAAGGAGAAGAAATGTGAAGTACCCTTCCTTGAACAGGCTTGTACGTAGATCACCAGCCTGCTAGCTGGCACAGTTTCAGCCCATCATTATCTTTTATCAGGTAGTATAAAGCTGGATTCTGGTTCAAGCAGCCAGATTGAGAACAGGAAAAGGATATGTTCTATCTTTATAGATAAAAATTTAAATTAAAGTGAATTATTACATATTTCTTCTCAGCTTTCTTTCTGCTTTCCATGAAGTCTCACACATTTGCTTCCTTTAGCAATGTTCTTGCTGGTGAAAGGCAACATTTATTATCAGGTATGAGGGGGGCAATTCATGAGGTGTCCTTGATGCATGAGGAATGCTGAGTCAGACTTCTGTGGATTTTAGCATCCTGACAAAACTGCAATGGCATATGTGACAGTCAACAGAGCTTTGTGCCTGAGCACTTGCAAAAGTTGTTGCAACACCTTTGAATTTAGCCTCAGGAAGGGCTCCCCTAAGACAGATAACATCATCATCTCACTGGTTTGGATGCTGAAAGTGAGACACAGTGACTCTGATGAGACCTCCTACAGGCAGCCATGTGGGAGAGTGTGCCCAGGGTTTTCCCATGACATTTCAACAGCTGAAGACAGAGTTATAATGGAATTCCCTTCCTCTCACCCACAAAACAAGGAGTTACTGTTTTTTTCAGACCTAATGGGGCTACATGGGAGCCAGTACCATGTGTTTTGGGCCCCTACACATGCACTGCTCCTGTGCTACCCTCTCAAATGCAGAAACTTCGAGCTCCTTACTCCAGAAATCTGGAACATGGAAAGCTGCAGAGAAGCTAACTTAGTCTCAGTATTTTCCACCTTTGTGTTGGAACAAATCCAATTTGTGGTTGTGGGAAAATGAGAAGTGCTGGCTTTGGATGGCAGCACTGGATGAAGTCCAAGAGGGGGGGAGGCAGTGCTACCAAGTTAAGTGATGCTTTCACACCCATCCCAGGTGTAAGGAAGATCAAAATGGAAGATCTGTAGTGACAGTGAACATAGTGAAAGAAAATTATTTGTTGGTGAAGCAAGTGTTCACAGGGAGTCAAGGGAAACTTTTCAAATGAAGTGCCAGATGTGGACAGTCCTATTTCAGATGTACTGAGCACCCACAGTTCCTGAGAGAGTCACTAGGGACAACTTGCATAAATAGAAACTGACCCCAGTCCTGGCTCAGCAAAACTCATGTCCATGCATACAGGCTGTGAAATTCAGATACAAGATCATTCTGAAGCACAAAACCTTATTACAGTCTTAATAAATCCAGCATTGATTACTTCTTCCATAGATATCCCACTACTGGAAGTCTATATGCTCACCGTACCCTTTTGCAGTCACATGGTACTCACAGCACAGTGACAGCTCCAGCCCTGAAAGTCTGGGCACACTATACAGTGTTCATAATTTAGGGACCAGAGAAGTAACATGTAGGCAGCTCTAAATTACACTGCAACTCCTCTGGATATGATGCCAACTCGATGTTCCTAAATTTGAGTTAACTGGTTTTTAAAGTGGCTTATGGCAATGTCATCCACCCAAACTTCCATTCCACTTTTGAAAACTGAAATCTGCACCTTCGAAATTGCAACCAAAGTTTCAGATAACCAATGTATTCCTATTGCCTTGAGGTTTTTTTCTAGTTTCTGGATTGTATTTTGTTTTCCTTAAAAACTTCTTCATGATTCCAGTGTTATCCAAGTCAAATGGGACTTTGCCCAAAACCCAGGTATATGGAAAATCCTGGTCTGCAGGAATGACGTTGATAATCTGCATTCACCCTTTCCTCTGCAGCCTGCTGGATTCTCAGTTATTTCCCTAAGCTCATTCTTTTCTCTGCCTTTCTTCCTTCTCCATGATCATCTGCCTTTCTGGCCTTGATGTATTCTTCCCTGATATTTTACCAGTATATTCTGTTTCATGCACACGAGGTTTGCTGTGACTTGGAGTAGCAGTATATTTGCCTGTGAACCTGGGCCATGGCCAGAAGCAGCTTTTCTGCTCAGGGTTTTGTTTATGTGGAAGTGCTCTGCACCTAGAGATGGCCATGTACCAGATGCAAGGCAGTGACAGTAGATTTTGTGGTAGTAGCAAAGAAAGAGTGAGTTGGGCTCTCAAAAGCTTTCTTTAGTCTGTGAGGAAAAAAAATGGAAGAGGTAACTGTACTGAGAAGGTGAGAACAACGCTTCTGCCCAGGTCTTTAATTTCAAATACACGTTTTTACAGTTTCTGTACTCCAGTTTAAAAAGCACAAGCAATCATTATTATTACTTCAGAAGTCAGCCAAGGGTGGAATGCATTGTGTAGATGGCATACAAATGGTAAAGCAGGCTCTCTGCCCCAAGGAGCTTACACAGACACGACAGACTGCTGGTAAAAGCATGGCAGAGAACTGAATCACAGAAAAAACACTGTTTTCATTTCTCTCCCTTGAAAACCAAAGCAGACAACGTAAGCAGATCTGACTGCCGGCTGTAAAGGCGGTGATCAACAGTTAGGAGTAATGCTGCTGGCCTGTCTGCAGAGCCCACGCACCACCAGCAACAGAACGCACTTACCAGATGTGCAGGCAGCTGAGCGCCGCGAAGACGATCCCTACAACCAGGGCCAGGGGTATGGCAAGGACCAGGGTCAGGAGCTTGTAGATCACGTACTTGCTGAGCTCAAAGAGAGCGTGGCTGCAGATCCAGACTTTGTCGAAGGAGTGCGTTAACTCGGGCTCCGCGATCACATCCTCGAAG